GGGTCGCGCCTAGACGGCGCCGGGGCCCCCTCCCGACGAAGGCCCGGCCTGCCTCCTCACCGACAGGAGCCCGTCCCAGGGACGCGCGAAGCCCCGACTCGGCTCAACGAGCCCCTGAAGTGCCGTCCCGAAGCCCGTCAAGCGGGTCAGTCTCTTCCCAGGGAAGGGCGCCGCGGGCCGCCGCAGATCCCCTCCTCCTCCTCCTCCTCCTCCTCCCGGGCCATCCCGGGCCTTTTCGGGGGCGACGCGGCGGGTCTGGGCTTCGCTTCCCCCCTGAGCGCCCTATGCATGGGAGGGGCGGCAGGGGAACACGGGACCCGGGCTCTCCCCTTCCCGGGAGTCAGGACGAGCCTGGAGGGACCCGCTCGGCTTCCCTCCCCGCCAGAAGGGCTCCCGCTCGCGTCGGGGTCCGCCTCCCCATCGGATCTCCCAGGGACGCTCCGGATGTCGTCACTTCCTGCCCTGCTCTGTCACGACCCCCACGTGCCGCCCGCCCACCCGCGGTTCGCGCGCATGCTCCGTTCCCTCCTGAGGCCCGCAGGCTGCCCGTCCTTCCATCTTTGCTGAGGGCGCCGCTGACGGACTGGGGGCTTTAGAAACAAAAGTACAAAAGAAGAAACAAAAGATGCATGCTTAGGAAGTTGTCCAGTAAATCTTTCAATGAATGGGAGCAATAATTCCCAACAGTCCTTCATAGCTGATCCATATTGATCAATTCGGATCAATTCCGGAGTTGCCATTAAATGGATGACTTTCCAATAATCCTTTGAACCTACTTCCTCTCTCTAGGTGTCAACTTCTGGGATAAACTTCATATAAGCACCTGAAAAGGTTGAACCTCAAACTGCACGCAATTCCCAATTAATCCCATTAATTAATTAATGATTAATCCCAGTTAATTTCAGGGCATCTCCAGCAACTCAAATGCAATGAGGTCAAATCCAAGAGGAATCTGCAATTTCATTTGAACAGGTTTTCCTGCAATTCAACCAAAGGAGCGTGAAACTTTGCCTGAAACAGGTACAGAAACAAATGTATTTGATCCTGTTTGGGCTAAAAAAAATAAATTCCTTTACTTTTCCTTTGCTGGCTCCCTCAAAGCTGTCACTCCACTTCTCTGCCTCTGCTTGCGCACACATGAAGCCATGGTTTAGTTAATTGAGGTTTACTGAATAGACTATAGTTGGCTGCTTTTCTTCCAACCCATTAAACTGTCGCAAACATTAAGAAACCAAACTCATTGCCCAGAGTTGCTGGGAGATGGGCGGCATATAAATTTAATTTATTATTATTGTTGGTCGCACAGCCAGATGTTTAGACTGGAC